TGAGGAGCGGGCACGCGGCGCGGGCGGCGCGCCCATTGGTCGTCCGCGGAGGGGAGGCGGGCGCAACGTCCCGCGGTGCCCCGCGCGCGCCGCCGCCGCTGGGGGACCGAAGCCGGCACGAGGAGGGGGGCGGAGTCGCCGGGGACGGCGCCGACCAATCGGCGGAGGGGGCGGAGTCGCCGGGGCTCGCGCGGGCCAATCGGCAGCGGGGGCGGCCTGGCGGCCGTTAGAGCCGTTGGGAGCGTTGCGGGGGGTCGCGCCGCCGTTGGGAGCGTTGGCGCCGCCTCGCAGCCGTGAGGAGCCGCCCGCAAGAAACCACACAGCCACACCGGGTAGAAAGGAGTGCACAGTCGAGGTTTATGTACTTTACAGTAAAAAATAAACCTGGCAACAAACATCCCCTCCACTCCTGCGCAACGGGAAGAGTTAACCGGATCCCCCCCAAAGGAGAAGCCCCTTTCAAAGCTTTGCCCTGCCTCTCCGGGCCCGCTGGTTACCAAGAAGCGCTGCAAGCAGGTCCCCAGGGGCGGTGACAGCCAGGTGGGTGCCCCAGCACTGGGGGACAAAGAGACCGGCCGCCCCTGTCCCCCCCTCGTAGCTCGTCAACACTCAGTGAAGAAGCCAAAGCCCCTGGGTTCCTGCCCAGAAGAGACGTAGGGCGTGATGAGGAGCCGAGGGAACTCCAAAAAAGCTCAAGGAAGGCATGAGAAAAGAGAAAGATCTTTGTCAGCAGAGCTGCAGTTTCTCTGAACGCCAGATTCGGTTCGCAGAAGGGTTTGCGCTTTATTTCAGGCGCCGGTGTCCAGCTCAGCACAAAGTTTGTTTGCAAAGCCTGGAGTTAGCTAAGTACGAGGGGAAGTCCTGTTTTATTTTACGTCTCCTCCAGTAGATGTGGGTGAGTGTTAACCACCTACCACACCAACTCAACACACCTTGAGCAACCAAGTACGTTCAGCTCGTTCCTCACCGCACACTGGGARGCTACAGTCACTTGAACCCGGTGAAACGCGGAGGTTGGCACAGCCGGCGAGCCCGAAACCCGCGAGTCCTGCACAGGAGCGCGCTCGCTTCTCGGCCGCTGACCCAGCCCTAGAGCAGATGCCTGCTGCCCTCCTCCCCAGGAGGGGAAGAATTCAAGCCCCACACGGGCTGTGCAAGCACGGAGCCCTTGGCAAATACATCCTTCTTCACTGCTTCTCACCCATGTCACACGCCACATGGCTAGGGAGGCTGGATACTCTTCTCACACCTTGGTTCCTGTTGGCATTTACGGATCCCTTCTACCAAAAATAATGAAAGTTTAGGCTTCCTGGCTTATTACTGTCCCCTTAACATCACCTGCTTGATCATTTGTTACTGGAAGGATGGCCTGGTAGAGATGGACATTTCCCAGAGCCAGGGAAGGAAATGTTGAGCTCTCCCTTCCTTCTCAGAGCCCCGAGAGTACTTTTGGGAAGGGGAAATTAAAGCTCCTGCTAAAAACATTACCCTTAAGGCTGTGAAACCCAAGGAGAGAAGTGTCCCAATGAGGCAGACCGTGGCACAAAGCGGTTTTGAGGAGTGGGACTCTGCACTGAGCGCCCGCTCCAGGTGCTCTCCCTGTCCCGAGGGAGCGAGCGCTGCTTTTCCAGGAGGCTCGGTTTGGTTAACACGTGGCATCCCCTTTCCCGCTCTCCTTTGACCGTAYTGAGGACAAACAAGCAGCGTCTCTRTGTGTGCTGGGAATCCTCGCAATGTGGGGAGTCGGTTCCTTCCAGCTCTTCCCAGACGGGGACACGGGGCTTTTCCTTAGCCTGGCACACGGCTAGACTCCGGGAGGAAGAAGGCACTGGAGGCAACACCGGTGCGGGTCATCGCCGCCCTCCGCCCCAGGCACTGCACGTGCTGCCCGGTCACCGCGGCGGCTCCAACGTGGCGACGGGCGGACGCAGGAGAAGTGTCTGGTGCCCTCCTTCCTCAGCCAAGCTCCGGGGAGGGCTGAGCTCCCCGTGGTTTAAAGCCCAAGTGCTCAGGAGCTCCTGTTGCAGCCACGAYCCCCTCAGCGGGGACTCCGAGCTGGCAGGGATGCCCAGAGAAGCAGGGGAAAAGCAGATATYCTCCAGCACGTGTTTGGGGAAAGGGCAATAAATACATCTCTTCATGAAGAACAATGCAGCAGTGCAATGTTTTATTGAAAAAAAAAAAATAAAAGAAGTCTCACTTGCTACCTGCATCGCACYGTTGGCGGCCCCGGGGGAGCTCGAGCTGGGCCCCCGGCGCCCCCCGACACGGGCGGGCGATGCCGAGGCCCTGCCGGGCTCGCGGGGCGCCTGGCACCCGGCGCAGGGAGCCGCGGGGAGCAGGGCACAGGCTGCCCCTCCGCCCTGGCGCAGCTCCCGCTCGCCCCCGAGCTCCCTGGGCTGCGCGGGTCCCTCAAGCACAGGCCTTACTGGTCACCTGCCTTCATAATAATAATAATAATAATAATAATAAAAAATAAAAGCAACAACAACAACATCAAAAAAAAAAAAAAAAACAACAAAACATCTGTTGCCCTTTTTAAAGAGTCCAACGTACGATTATAGTGCAAGAGGGCTTGGTACAAGTGAGCATTACCAGCATGCCGCGGATGCGGGGGGACGGTCCTCCCCTACAAACACATCATCATCATCATCATCATCATCATCATCATAGGATTAAAAGAACATCGTTATCTCCAGAGAGAAGCAGTAGCGGAGTTGTCGTCGCGACACGGCTTTCAAATCAACCCGCTTCAAAACAAGGTCAGAGAAGTTTCTAAACAATCCAATACATTCACTTAAAAAACGAAAGAAAGAAAGAAAGAAAAAGAACATTTAAGAACAGAACCTGTTGAGATGGCCCCTTTTCTTCCCGCCCTCCCTCACCCTGCAAACACTTACACACGCTGCAACTACGAGCTGCCCCCGGCCTGGAAGCAGCGGGGAACGACCACGCGCGGCAGGAGATGCAGAAGGAATCGAGTTGTGGTGACAGGCACTTAGTAGGGCTCGGGAGGACGGCGGGCGCGGGCCGCGGCTCCCTTCCCTCCCGCGGGCCGCCGCTTCCCCGGCGGGGAGGGGACGGGCCCGTRCCGGCGCTCGGAGCAGCCTTGGCGGGACAGGGCCCGGCCTTGGCGAGCGGGACGTGAGCAGCGGCTGCACACGCCGCCCGGGGGGTAAGCGCGTGTGGAGCAAGGCGGGCCGCAGCCCGGCGCGGTGCCGCGGGGCCTCGGMGCTGCGCTCTGCCCAGTAAGGCATGGAGGTCATCCAGGAGGGAAGGGCCAGGAGAGGCGCGAGCGGTGCCGCGGCCGAGCGAGGCTCCTCCGTGCTGCGCGTGGCCGGGGCGAGCGGGGAGGCTCCCTGCTCCTGGCGGCCTCTGCGCCCCTCACCTGCTTCCTTCCAGCACAGGGAACCGAACGCCACCAAAGGAACGCCAAGCTACCTAGACCATCCTCGAAGATGGACAACAGACAAGGAGATCTTGTCTCTGCCCTTCCTCCCTTCACACTTGCTGGGGRACTCAGGGACAGGCGTGAGCAAGGCCCGAGTTTTGGACACGAAGGCCCAAGTGAACAGTCCCAGCCGAGCTGGGTGTCACACGCAGAAAGACAACACGCAAGGAACCTGTTCACAGCAACAACCTTCACCTTCCCTCCCCGATCAAAAAACCACAACTGCTTGAATTCCCCCGCAGCCCTGCCATGCCCGCGATAAACCCGGAGCAGCCCCAGCCGCCTCGGAGTCTGGGAATGCTGTGGTAGGACTCAAGATTTTACCCGCCTGCAGAGCGCTCCAAGCCCTTCGTGACCTATTGGTTTGGCGCGTGGGAACTGCGGCGTCCCCCGCGGCCCGTGCCCGCGGAGAGGACGGGAAGGCCATTCCAGTCAACCCGAGCTGACCATCCGGAGATGAAATCAGTATTAAGGCAGTGAAGGATCCTCTCCCCTGCGCGGGACGCTTTGCCCTTGCTAACGTTTCCGCGCAGAAGGTGCACTCGTGAGCACCCTACCAGAGGGGTTCGCCAAGGCTGCCCGGTTGCCTCACCACACGCCACCAAATGCCTACGGATTGGGAAACCTCCGCTTTYCAGCTTCCTTAACGCAGCTCCTCAGGCAGCGCAGGCTCCTCCAGCCCGGCAGAGCGGCGGCCGCTGCGTCCTGCCAGCGCCAGGCGCGTCTCCGGGACGGACCGCGTCAGACTCGGTGCGGCAACCCACCGCGGGGGACGTGCCCCGGCCGCCAGGAAGCGCCACTGGGAATCCAAGGACGCTTATCCCGGCGCGTGGCCCCAAACCACGGGCCCCAGGGCGGCGCGAGCACCGGGCGCCCCGGGGCGGCCGCGGCGCCGGAGGACGGGCCTCGCACCCCACCGCCTTCCCAGCTGAACGAAGGTCTGTCYGCGCCGGCACGGCCGCTCCACGCGGGCGCCCGCAGACACCATGTGCATATCCATAATGCTAAAAATAATAAAAAGTGCAACGCCGTCAGTTTCTTTAAAACAATCCACATTGCTCTGTTACCGTCCGAGGAGGGAGGTGTCAAGGAAGCCAGAAGGAAATAACCTAACTGGAACAGTAGTAGATTGCAAATTTCTCACAGCTTGCACGTTACAGTGTAACTGTTCCCAGGGAGCTCGGCAGGAGCTGCGGGCCTCCCCGCCGCGCGCCTCTCCCGCCCCGGTGCCTCCTGCGGCCCTGCGGAGCGCCCGGCAAGCCCGCGGCATCGCGAGGAGCGCGGCGGCGCAGCGGGCACGGCGGGCAGCGCGCAGGGAGGGCGCGACGGGAGCAGGAACTAAGCACAGTCCTGGGGTTCGCAGGGACGAGGCCGCCGCCGGAACCGCCGGGGAAGGAGGGTCAGCCAGCCAGCCCCCCTCCCAGGGCGACCAAGACCTGAGCCAGCCACAGTCCTGGTCCCAACAGGAGCTTCAGGCTTGGAGCGAGCGAGGGAGACCATTCAGCAGATCCACCCCAGAGTGGTTTGTTTTGGACCGTTTTCTTCTCTCTCTTTTTTCTTTTTTTTTTTTCTTTTTTTTTTTTTGGTTTAAAATGTCACTTTTGTGGTTTTTTTTTTTCCTTTCCTCTCTTCCTCCTGTGCCTCCGCCTCCTCCCCCCTCAAGAGAAGCCCCTTCCAGCAAGGCAGGGCAGGAGCTGCAGGCGCCGGGGTCCCGGCCAGGCGCGCAGGTCACTTGTGCCGCTGAGCCGTCTTCTTCCTTTTCCTCTTAAAGAAGCAGCAGCACCTGGAGCACAAAGAACAAGGCAGGTGAGCGGCGCGCGGCCGCCCGCGCCGGCTCCCCTCCACGCCGAGCAGCATGCACCCCTCAGCGCCGGCCCTCGCCTCTAGCTGCTCCCCCGGGACGGGAACGCCGCGGGGGAAGCGGAGCGCCGGCGGATTCCCCGCTCCCGCCGTGTGGAGCCCCGAGGAGCACTGGGACAGCGAGTCCCGGCGGCTCCTCCGTGCTACGGGGCCCACGGGCCTGGAGCATGGTCCACTCGAGAGCCCGGCGCACGTGTTCGGAAGCGTTCGCGGCTCACGGATCAGGTCTCTCCACTGAACCGTTCCCAATAACCCACGCTAGATCATTCCGCACAGTTAGGCTTGACTCCTGCTTCCTCCCCCAGCCGGTGCAGGAAGGACACGGCATTCGAGGGTCAGGGAAGCAAAAGGATGGATAGAGGAGACGGAGGTGGGGAGAAAAACAGCACAGCTGGACCTCCAGCGGCAGAGGTGTCCCTTGAGGGTTACACTGAAGGCGACAGCCCCCTTCTCCTCCCAGAAGCTCCTTACACAATGACTTGGCCTGTCTCTATTCCTGTCCTCGCTCTCCCTCAGTCAGGAATCCTCCGCACAGAGGAAACAGCGTTGTCCTTTGCCAGCTCTGCTCCCGAGCTACCCGTTTTTCTCATTCTGCCATTACAGCTGTCTCCAGAGCAGCCCGGGTGATGCTGAAACAGCGTGTGAGGTTCTCACGTTTGTTTTGTTTTGGGGCTGCTGGAAGGGACATGCAGCTACGCAACAAGAGCAGATGTGACTCTGCARAGACCATTCCCGCCCCCAGCATCTTTTACCAATAGCCAGACCCAAAGAGTCCCACACACTTTCTGTAACAACATCGCCAAGTTACGTGCTGCCAGATACACTCTGCAATGTCGCACTGAACTCCTGTCCTCTCAGAGCTGCACCAACACCGTTCCCTCCTCACTTGCACCCCAGAGGCCCCCGGAAACACCAGCCTGGCTCTGGGCTGCAGAAGTGCTGGGAGACCAACGCCACCACGGGAACAAAGCACGTCAGCCCAAATCGTTTGYTGGGGAGACTGAAATTCCCGACAACACACGGAGCTGAAAGATCCAGAAGTGACGGGAGGGTGACCTAAAACCCAGAGGGAGTTTACTGTCCATGATTTGCCTTTGGCTGCTTCCTGGGCGCTCCTCACGGGCCCAGTTTGGAGACGAGACGAGAGAAACACGAAAGGGCCTGTCCTTGCAGGAGCACGGGCCTGGAGCGGCCGGCGAGCCGCAAGGCCTCCGTGCCCGCACGGCGCCCGCCACGTGCGGCACGTCGTGCGGCGGCTCCCCGGAGCGCAGCGCCCTGGGCGTTACCGGCTGGGCGCTACAGCTCCCCTCTCCGCCGCCCGCTCCGGGACTGTCTCGCGCTTCAGGCCGTGTGCCGCCCGCTCTGGTTTTCACCTGTCACACTATTCTCCCCCCACAGCGGCCGCCTGCCTTCGGGACTCRGGTACCCGTAAGGAGGAGGGGATCGTTACGGGGAGAGATGGTGGAAAATGCACGCGTTATGGTTTCACATGCACCGCGRAGGGGACAGGGGGGCTGAGCGGGACCCCTCTGGTCGGGCGCGGGGAGGAGGCAGCTCACTGACTCGGCGCTGCTCTGCCTTGTGCCTGGCTGCTGTCACCGCTACTCAGAGGTCCGGGGAAGGGGTCAGGAAAGGAAGCCCTGGCAGTTCAGACAGGCAGAGGCAGAACACCAAAAGAAAAGAACAAGGCAGGCCGACAAGTACAGAACGTGATCTCTGTGCATGCAGACAAGGCCCAAGAGAACAGCTCCAGACTACGACATACAGAGAAGCCAGAGATGCCAGAGGAGGAGGCAATGCCTATGGAGAGAAGGGCAGAGAAGGGTCTCTCTGTCATTGAACAAGGCCTTTCTTCAGCACATGGGTGGCTTTCGAGCCAATCCGATGTTGCACCTCGATCCGCAGCAATTCCTGCTTTCCAGCACCCCAGAAGGCCACCTGCCCCTGCAGAYGCCTCGCGTGAGCCTCGCCGTGAGCCTCCCTTTCCCGCGCAGCGCTGGGCAGGCKGCCCCTCCGGCTGCGGGAAGGGGCACGGCAGGAGCAAACGCTCCRCAGGGCTCCTCCAGCCTGGAACTACGGCTGGGACTTGGCAAGCGTGGAAAACTGTACATATACCCGAGCTGGACTTGCAATAARGCTAATCCCAATCTCCCTGTCCCTCTGCAAGCAGCCCTTAGCAAGCAGCCAGTTGAACTGTGCTCTCAGCTGGCAGCTGCAGGGTGGTTTTTCCTCCTACTCCTCAGCTTGGAAAGTGGCCCTTTCCCACCAGCTCGCTCCAAGCGGTGGCTTTAGCTGCRCATCTATCCACAAGGTCTACAGCCTTCGCACTCTCTAATCACATCCGCCCCAGCCTGCGCCTCCTTCGTGTGGAGCTCCTCTAGGAAGCAGCTGCCCTCCTGTCCTCAGTAACCAGGTTTCCCTTTGTCTGCGTGAGGAATTCCTGCGAGATGCTCGGCAAGCCTCGTCCCGACTCTGCCCAACTCCGTTAGACATCACCTGCTCAAGGACACAACAGTTCGGGGGGGAGATGGTAAAGGCCGAATCGAAAATCTGTCTTTTGCAAAGATCAGCTCAGAGATCAGCCCAATTGCTCGGCCTCATGCGGCCTCGCAAGCAACCCCCGCCTTCCCCCACTATTGTATGAGGTTCTTGGTCTTAAATCAGAACAGCCCTGGGTTGGCTTTTTTGAGTTTGTGCCTTTTTTTCTGTTGTTGGGTTTTTTTTGGTTTTTTTTTTTTTTTTTTTTTGTGGCTTGGTTGGTTTGGTTTTGCCAACCCCAGTCTAGTCTGGTCCGCTCCCCCTGGCACGTGGACTGGAGAGAGGGACTCACCACAAGTTGAGCATTTTCAGGCAGCTACAGAGAGTGTAGAGAAAAAAAAAAAACACAGAAAGGAAGAAAGAGCAATTAGTTCACAGAGGTGGGATGGAAGCAGGTCACTGCAGCCATGCACACATGCAGTGCGGCAGACACGCTCCACGCCGGGCCGCCCGCCCGCCCCAGCACTCACACCACCTCTGCCCTGGCCACCGTGCTGCTCCCGGCCGCCGTGTTTTCCAGGCGTTTTCCAGAACGTCCCGCTCTGTCCCCAAGGGGGTACTTTTACTCTGGGGCTAGGAACAGAAAAGGGGCTCCAGGCCAGCAGAAGAAGATACTGCTCCAATCCCTGCGGCTCCTGAGGCTAAGAGGCTGGATTCCAGAGCTGTGTATGCGGCCTGTGGGATCTCCAGCACAGCACAGCAAGGTGGAAGTGCTGCCACCTCTCCCCTGCCTGCCAGGAGAGCCAGGACTGCTCCTCCTCCTGGACCCAGAGTCCCGTCTCCAGCTGCCTCTGGCTCCTTCTGGCTCCCCTTACTGCAGAGCAGTTCCTCAAGCCCGAAAGCCTTTGCCCTCCTCTGCTAACTAAGGGGTTTTATAATCCCAGCTGCAAGGAAAGATGAAGGTGGTCGCACACGTGGCTGGAGGGAGGAAGCAGGCTACGCTCGGGAACGAGCACAGCAGCTCCTGACGGAGCAAAGCCGCCWGTGCTCAGCTTCGCAGGAAACGCTTAGACCCTTCAAAACCAAATCTGAAGCACTCAAGCAGGGCCTAGGCTGCCCTATCAAGAACAGTTTAGGATGGTGATTTGCCCCAGCCCATCCAGGTGTCAACCACAAGCCACTTGAGGTCCCACTTTGGTCATTCAGACCATGAYGGAGCCTGCAACACCAAACCCGTGGCCTCTGCAGGCCAGGCTACCTGCAGTTAACACTGCCCATTCTGCAACCTGCAGTTCAAGATCTCCTCCTCATCCCTGCTGTACTGTATGAGAAACCTGTAGCAAACCCAAAGCTCACTCTTTTGGCTGGCAGGAGAAAGCTTATTCACTGCTGGGACAAGTCACTGCGAGGAGCAAACCCTGGCCAGCTACCAGCAAGCCAGATCCAGCAGAAGTGCTTCCCGAGGGACAGAGGGATGGACACTGAATGACATTTACCTTTAAGCCTGCGGAATAAGACGGGAGACCAGCACTGGCTCTGGCCTCATACGCACCCAGGGACCGTTTCCATCAACGCCCACTTAACACGCCTGCCTTTTTCCTTTATCCCCTCAAAGTCTTCCCTACTGCAAGTGCCCATGAGGCTAAAGACAAGCAAGGTGGGACACGCAACGCTGATGCCATCAAGTCAAATTATAGCCAGAGAGTGGCCCAACGTCATGGCACCAACCTGTTCAAATGCAGCCCCAGGACGTAGCTACCCCTCGTAGGGGGATGTGAATATTACACTGTGTCCTGCTAGGGGCCAAGAACAGTCCAGAAGCAGTGAGAAGGTCCCACTTGGAAGATCATGCAGAAGGTGACGTGGTGGTGCCAGATGCAGTGCTGATGCAAAGAAGGCCAAAACAGTCAAACTGCAGGACAATTTTGTACCCGGTTGTTACTCTTCACTAGCACCTACAGGGGCCTGGTCCTGCTCGCTGAGGCCCGCACAGGCGAGCAGGGCGTGCAGCACAAGCAGGACGCCTATTTCTGGATCCTCCCTCATTCAGCTGCTGCTGGGCTGGACCAAGAGAAATCACCCAGAAGACCACACGTTCCTGCAAGAGTTACTTTAGCACCACTCTGGATACCAAGTCTCTGCTTCTTGCGGCCAGAACTAAAGTGTTAACTTTCAGACCAGCAATTCCCTCACGGAGCTGTGCTCAAGCTACTCCTACACTCTCAGCACGAGAGTACAATGCGTTCTCCTTCTGGAACAGGGGATGCTCACCGGGCTCCCTGAAATCAATCCCCATTATTTCGGTAATTGAGCTACCACCCTGTTTCACAGTACATGCTTGGATTAGGAGGTATGTTCTTGGGCCATGACACGTGTGAAAAGCAGCAGCAGCACTGGAGGCACCATGCACAAAAGCAGCGATATGCAGGAAAAGGTCATGGGACACAAGCACCAAGTACTTCACCATGGGTAGAAAGCCCCACTCATTTCAAAGGAGGAGGATTAACCACCACACCAGTGGAAAGCCTTTGGAAAGCACACGTACTTAGCCTCCTCCACCACCTCCACTTCTGCCTGCGCCGTGATGGGTGCGTTGGAGTGGGCCCCCGTCGGGTCATCGACGTTCAGCTCCCCGTTGGTCGAGCTGACCACCTGAAACACAAACGAACGCCCCGTTAATGAAGCCCCGACAGAGCCTGCAWGTGATAGGGCTCCAGCTGCCCGGGCAAGGGATAGCGTAGCAGTGGGAAGTCTGTGGACCAACTTCTCTGTGCTCTGGTCCCTCTACTCGTTACTGTGGGACTCCCTGGATGCCCTTAAACCACGAGCTTGTTTCCAGCAGTCCACTGAAGAGACTGGCGTGCTTTGCCCCAAGCAGAAGAGCAGGTAGGGGCTGCTCCATGCTCACTGCTCCGCTTCTGTACCCAACACAGGTCTCCRCAATGTCTTTGGGAGGCTCCCCCACAGTTTGCTTTCCTTCCCCTGGGATCTTAAGAGGAAAAAGTAGCGTGAAGACTGATTGACAGCCTCATATATTTGCAAACTGTATTATGCTGACTGTTTGCTCCTAACTTCTTTTGAGCAGTCCTTCTAAGAAGGACATTAGCTTCTATGAAGGGCACTAGGACTAGCAGTCCTTCTAAGAAGGACACAGTCCTCTTAGGAAGGACAGCGTTGTGACAATTGAAGCATCCAGCACTGCATGGGCTGTAGATAGCAGGGAGGCTTCTTGCGAAGGTCAAGTGAACCCCTGCATATGGAGGCACCAAGAAATCCCTAGGACATGGGCCATGGCCCGTGTGGGATTTGGCCCTGATTGCCACTAACATGGGAAGATCCAACTCCATAACCCTCAACTCCTMATTCCCTACACACTCAGTTCCTGGAATTACTTCATTGCCCAAAGGTATTTACATGGTCTCTAATTTATAAAGGTATTTATATGGTCTCTAAYGGTCTCTCCTTTTGCTTTGCAGTTTATGTTACAGATTACTTGAATGCTTTCATATAGGTGCCACCAGCTGTCAGGAGCCAGGAGGGCGTTACGCAGGAGAGCACATAATGTTCTGGATAATTCACGATTGCTCTGCTGCCAGTGGGACTGCAGCAGTGACCAACAAACAAGTCCAAATCAGGCTGATGTCCAGCCGGCCCTTCCACACTTCACCGGGAAGGTAGGACAGGCTTCTTGCGCCATGAACACCTGCAGGAGCGGTAAGGATGCGTGGCCGCCCTCATACTCCACCTCTCTGCCTTTCTACAAGGTAAAAGCAGGTACCTCACATCGTGGAGTTCCAGTCTTCAGGAGAGTTAGCAGCTGAGGTTGTAACTCTGATAACTGAGTCTGGAAGGCCCTATGGTCCATGCTCATTTCTGGAGTCCAGATGCTACCAGGTATTCCCTGGTGGCTGAGGATGACCTGACCACCAGAGATGAAGGGAAGGAAGCCAGAGAAGCAGTGCAYCTGTAAGAATTCTCCTCACTATTAAGTGCTTCTATACATATTTTGAAATCTTACGTTCTACCAACAGCTGCTGTTTCTGCAGAAACGAAGGCAGAACAAGTCCCATGCCCAGTTTCTGCCAAGGTATGTCAGAAAGAAGCTCCTGTGTTCTTGGGAGCTTTCCTCTCCATTGGGGATTATCCCTTGGGTCCTCTTGACACCTCCCTCCCAAACTCATTGCACTGCAGGTCTCTGCAGGCTCTCAAGACCCCACGCTTCCCACACAGCTTTGCTCCAACACCAGCAGTTAATTGTGCTGTTCCTCGTGATCTTCCTACACTTTCAAAGTCTTTTGTAAAATGAAGTTTAACAAGAAGCAGATGAAGACCTTTTTTTTCCCCTTCATTTTTTTTTTGTCCTCCATTCTGCCACTTTATTCTGATGTGGCAAATTCAACAGTTGCCTTAAAGGAAACTTCAAACTACTGACTTCTCTTAGGAGAACTGCAGGTTCAGCATTAGCTGGCACGTCCGCTGAGAAGTCATTGAAGGTTCCGTCACGCTGCAGCCAGAGCAGCAACAGACTATCTGCTGTTCCTGGCTGCACGTAAGCAGCTTTTGGTGCTTATAATACCATAAACCTGCTTGGAAACTGCTCAGATAGGTGACCCTTATGATCAAAACCCAGACCAGGGCTGCCTTAGTGTGTCAGCTATTCCAGCACAGCGCTGTTTGTGTGGAGACATGGCTCATTCTCGCTTTGCATGATTTAAACTATTCCCCAATAMCAATAAAAACAGCCAGGCTGAAGCTCCTGAGAGCTGAGCTCTCCTGTCTGCTCTTGTCTGAGATCAGAGCTATCCATAAACCCATTCGTCCTCATCTTTCAATTTCTCAKCCAGTCAGAAAAATATCTTTGAATTAAAAAAGCAACTTGGCTAATGAAGCCCCCAAAAGCCACTGAAACCAACCCAATATGAAGAACAATGCAAATTCCAGCCAATCTCAATTTCCCCCACGGGCATCTTGTTCTGTCTCCAAAATCTTCAYGGCTGTGAAGCTTTGCCTCTTGGGGCAGCTGCTCTCCATACAGAGCCCGCTGGCAAGAGGGGCAATTCTAGGGTCAACGTCCCAACAGAGCTGAGCGCTGCAACCAGACAAGGGAGCTTGGGCAGCCACGGTGTGTGCTTTTGAGCAGGGAGGAACAGCAACCTGTCCTGTGCACCTCAAAGCAGAGGACAGGGCTCCACGTGGCTTCCAGGGTGGACGCATATGCAAGACAGCATTCAGCTTCCTCCAAGCACTCAGTCTCACGCAGGTTTGTAGTCTCTTAAGGTGGCACTTTTTCCCCCCAGTTGGCTTGCAATGAATGCACAATAAACTCCATTATAGCCAAAGATAGACCTGCTGCTCCGGCCAGCTCCCGAARACAAGGCTTCCCATCTCCTCCGTGCAGCTTTGCCCCACTCCCAGCATTAGTTCCCATTTCTCCAGAGTTTACAAAGTCATGTTAGGATTGTGTCTGACATAGAGCCTCTCTCATAGGCAAACTCTTGGACAACCCAAAAAACTCCCCTTGCCAGCAAAGCTAGACACTTCTCACTTTCTTGGATAACTCCTGTAGCTTCCCAGCRGTGTTTCAAGCCACCTTATCCTGGCAGTAGGGCAAGAGGCTCCCTTAGAAAGGCTGAATGACAGCCAGAGGCAGGTACATCTGCATAAACAAAACCAGTCCCTTCGGGGATTTCAGAACTTATTTGTGCTGGCACCTTTAATGCTGCCTGTCACTGTTGCTCATGCTCTGCTTCACCTTCTAGACACATCTAGAGCATCCCCGGGGCTGCGGAGGGCTTTATAGACCAGATGGGCAAATATACACTATTTTCTGCATTCATTTTGACAGTTACACAAATCCGAGATCAAAACAGCCCTCAGGGGAAAAGCTTTGCTGAAGAGGGAACAGCAACTATGTTATAGGCACGGCTTGGGTACTCCCAAACTGCGGCTTGAGCATTAGGTACCGGACAGGGCCAAATCCGCCTGTGAAATTACCTTCCTGATGTTGTAACTGGAATTCAGGGAGGCTTCTGGGGAGTTTTAGGCATATTCTTATATCAAAACCGTGCAAGCCAGAGGGAGCAGATACCTGTACTGATCCTCCATGCCGGTCTGCAGCCAAGTGAGATGTCAAGTACGAGGTATTCGTCTGCCGGTTGGGCTGGATCTCCCACTCTCCTCGGCGGTCTGAKGCCGCCTGCTCGCAAGTCAGAAGCACGGGAGAGAGAGAAGAGGGGGCACAAGGTGAGTCAGGCGAAGAGGGGAGAGCACGTTTGTTAGTGAGTTAGTTTTTGTTTGGTTTTTGCAAAAAACAAGGCATTTAAACATTTTGCGAGGGTAAAATTTGGCTTCACCAAGTGCAGCCTCATACTCCAGTTCAGTGGTGTCTGCAGCAATCCACTGCAGGAGCAAGTTTCTTCTCCTCTAGCTAACGAACGAAGAGAAAGCCCACATCTATTCGGGGAGTTACTTCACTACACGGCTTCATTTGCACTTTTTTCAGCATAGAAACAAATGGACTAACAACGTGTTCAACCGCATCTGTCAGGACACACACCAGAGCTCTTCACGTGGCAGCAGGGTTGGGGACACAATTGCACCTCCATAAGATGATACATATTTCTGCCTCAAGTTTGCAATATAAAACAAACCAAATTTTATTTCAGCAAAATCCTGTTCCACACACTGATTCATCTGCAAGGTGCAGAAGGAAACATCTCTCTTTATTTGACCGGAGGGAAGGATGGGGTTTTTTTTCCTGGTTTTGTTTTGCTGGGAAAAAGGACAGTAAATGAACTTGCTGTAATAGTTTCTTCATCATCCAAAACGCCTGCAAACTTTGTGCAAGGCAATTATTAGAACAATATATTGGATGCAAAAAAAAGTATGATGCACACAGGGAAAAAACAAATAAAACAAAACAAAAACAACCTGAATTTATCTATGCAGACTATTCTGTTTGTACTTTTCATGGAGCTAGGAAGCAGAAACCCAAAAATAGGTTTTAGGAAAGCAGACAAAACTCCAGATAACTTGTCACACTTCCTAGCTTTTTACCAGGATTCATGTTCTTTCTGCCCAAAGCTAATGTACCTTTTTTTTTTTTTTTTCCTGAGATATGAACTAGCTATAAAATACAAGGAAACACACTTCTACTGAACACCCTTCTAGAAATGAATTTTGCTTCTCAGTAAAGCTCCTGGAACAACAGAACATCAGAGTAGAACAAGGCCTGAGAAATCAAAACCCCTCAGGGGCTTTTGTGATATGTAGAACAATAGCCAAGTACAGAAGCACAAGAGCATGACCACCAAAGCCCATCTTGTTCTTCACAAAGAGCTGCATTTCCTTTTGGCCATTTGACAGAGACCTACACATCTCCGCTCATTCAACCAAACTGTAAAGTCTCCATTCCTTTTCTCTCTCTCTCTCTCTCTCTCTCTCTCTTTCTTTCTTTTCCTTCCTTCCTTCCTTCCTTCCTTCCTTCCTTCCTTCCTTCCTTCCTTCCTTCCTTCCTTCCTTCTTTCCTTCTTTCCTTCCTTCCTTCTTTCCTTCCTTCCTTCCTTCCTT